CCGTGGATCACATTAGCCACTCCTTGAGGGGGCGCCTCCAAGTCATCCGGTCCATGCGGATCAACCGGGGCGGGATGTGCGGCTGTAACTCCCCCATCAATGTAAAGATCCAAGTGACCGGCTACGACTAACTCCTCCAAGTGTTGCTTTAGAGGCAAACAGTTCTCCGTCTGGTGTCCTCGCTCCCGGTGATATGTACAACGGTACCGTGGATTGAAGCCCTTTTGCGCGTCGCCTATCTTAGCAGGAAACCTGATGTAATCCTCGTCACGGATTTCACTAAGTATGCGATAGATTGGAATTTTGAAAACCGTGGTGATGTCCGTCCGAGCTTTCAACCTTCTATTCGCATCAGCTACGTCATCGCAGAGGTATTCAGCTCGGTCATTCCAACGGCCCCTTCCCCGGTACCGATGATTTGACCCACGGTCAAATTCTTCGACGCGATCATTTGGTCGGTTAGACTCCTATCCGACCGCGTGTACCTTGCCAGCCGACCTCTTGTCTGTTACCACCGGAGTTGTCTTCGTGGTGGATGCCGCCGCATCGTCCTCTACCCGAATGTGCTCATTGATGCACTGCATTAGTTGGCCCATGGATGTCGGCTGGTTCATGGTAAGCGAGTCCCGCAGCCTATGTCCGACCGGGAGACCGCGCTTATATTGGATGATTGCCAGGCTGATCGGGCAATCTAAAATCTCGTTGAAGGTTTTCTAGTATCTGGAGTTGTATGCCTTGAGTGTGTCGCTCGACTCCATTTTGACACTGGGTAGGTGGTCTACCTCCTTCGGTGTTTTGGTGTTGGTCTTGAAACGAGTCACAAATGATTCCGCCAACTGTGGCCACCTATCGATGCTTCCCTCTGGCAGCCTCTCAAACCATTTCAAGCCCAGCTCACCCAAACTTGACGGGAAGATAAGGCACATAAGAGCGTCATTGCGCCTATGTCCAGCCATGACTTGCCGAAAGTGGCTTACATGCATGTATGGATCGGTCTTTCTATCGTAAAACGTAAACTTGGGCTGGTGGAAGCCCGTGGGGAGAGGAGTGGTTTCTATCTCAAGGGAGAAGGGGGTGGCGCTCAGTCGCGCCAAATCTGTGTCTAGATGGAGAGGCACGGTTGGGCGGGGTGGTGGCATTATGATCTCTTCACTGGCGCGGCCCTCGTAAGATAGCTGCTGGAGCGCCGGCACCCTTTGAGTCTCCCACCGGCGAGCCTGCTCCTTTAGGACTGCCCGCAAGTCATCTGAGTGAGCGGAATAGGAATACCTCGACGTCGTCGTCGGACGTGAGGGTTGGTAGGTATTATCTTGCCCGCTAGACTTCTCTACAGACGCGTCAGATTCTCCAACTCTGTAGCTTCTGGTGATAGAAAGGGAGGGAGTGTGCCGCTGGCTCTAACTGCCTGAACGGCGTGGTTGGGTGCGCTCACTGTGGTCTCCCACTCCAGCAACACACTTCCTTTTGACATGCCGTTTGAGATCTTCCATCTCCGCCGCCATTCTACGGATGACGGCGTCTTGGTCCCTTCACTTGTGCTCTAGACGCCTAGTGTGCGCTTCTCGTCGCCGCCGGTGCCCGTCTAGGCTCTGAGAGTTACCAAAACTTCTACCCCGCTTATCCTGCGCGTCTCTTGAATGTCTTCCTGGTGATGTCTCCGGGCCCGCCATGTTTGAAACGGCGGGGAGTCCATCTCTCTGTCTGGCTGACTCCGAGGTAACACCGTCGATGGCGGACAAGGGTATCTCGTCGTTGTTCGCCATGGAAGGCAATCAGATGAGTTTGGAAGACAAGGTTTTGTCTATCAAACTTTCCATAGACGGTGCCAATTGTACGGGGAGTAAATATTCTGCGGAGCCCATACTCCTTTCGTCCAAGCTCTTTGTCTATCCGATCGACCTGCGAGCACAACGGCTGTGAGCTACTCGGCGGTGTGTGGCCGAAAAACCCCTCCGACGGTCAAGTTAGCACACACACTCAGGGAGAGAGAGAGAGAGGAAGAGAGAGATAAATCACAATGAGTGTTTCTCACCAAATGATGTTCCATCCCCAACATGGGGGGCGCAGTCATGCTTATATACCTTCTGCGCTCAAATCTGCTCCCATTAGCCTCTTGACACGTAGAACTGCTCTCCCATCTGTCAACACAAATCCCGTAATCACCACCTAACCAAACCGACAGACTACATTAGTAGGAGCTCGGCAGCCTGGCGGCATCACCTCGGTCTCACACAACTGTGTTGGATAACGAGTCCGAGTACTCCACTCGTCGAGCTCCACAACGATCGTGCTCGGTTGCATTCCGGCAGAACCGAGCTCAAGACAGGTCGAGCTGGTAAATCGAAGCCCTTCCTGCCGAGCTAAATGCGCGAACCGTGGAATCCCGAATGGCAGGGATCATCTCGGTCGAGTTGCTCAAGTAGCTCGGTCCCTACATGGACAAGCCCAAGTAGCTCGGTCCCAACATGGCCCTGGGCCTCAACCGAGCAGAACCTTCTTCGGACAGGCCCAAGCTATCACGGCCCAAACGCGCTCGGCCCTCAATTTGCCCGGCCTTTACCATGGCCCATTCCAGCTCGTAAATCTCCCTCTTAATAGTAATTTAGAAAGTTGAGTTGAGGGGATTAGGAAACACTCCTGGGCAAAAGGTGATGGAGACAGGTGCAAAATATTCACTCTGTTTAAGTTCCAATTTTAGAATTCACTTTTCATACAATTTTATGTTTCATTTTTCGTATTTTTTTGTTTTCATTAAATTTTTATAAAATTTTAAACACACCTAACATAAATAAGTATAATATTTATGATTTTTTTTTTTAAAAAAAATTTACTAAATACAAAAAATATAAAAAAATACAAAAAATTCAGAGACAGGTGCAAAATATTCACTCTGTTTAAGTTCCAATTTTAGAATTCACTTTTCATACAATTTTATGTTTCATTTTTCGTATTTTTTTGTTTTCATTAAATTTTTATAAAATTTTAAACACACCTAACATAAATAAGTATAATATTTATGAATTTTTTTTTAAAAAAAAATTCACTAAATACAAAAAATATAAAAAAATACAAAAAATTCAATATATTTTTTGTATTTTGTGTATTTATTAATTTTTTTAAATATTTTTTTTTATTTAAATACATCAAAATAAGGTGCATCTAAAAAAATAATTTTTTTTAAAATTTAAAAAATATTCATTAAAATAAAAAATAAAAATTTAATTTTTAAAAAATTAAAATCAAATACATTATATTTTTCAAATAATAAGAGTTAATATATGCGATGATAAATAAAATACTATAATGAATATAGTAAATATGCGTATAATTTAAAATGTAAAACTAAAGTGATTTACTTTAGTTGTTTAAAAGAGAGGACACAATACCCATTTAAAGTCGCGGACTTGGGAGTGATGATAGAGACTTTGAATTTAGTGGAAAGTTATTATTGGTTTTTACCCTCTTTCAAGTGACTTGATGAATGTGTTCAAAAAAAAAACAAAAAAGTGACTTGAAGAATTGATATGTTAAATAGGGAGAAGTTTCTCTAGAGCTCAAAAGGGTATTGTTGTGTTTGTCAGTATTTATCATGAGTTTTATTTTGATAATTTAAATTTTGTAATGTGAAGAACTCATTAGATATTTTATATTTGTAAAAATTACGTTGATTAGATATCGGTAATTCCTTGATTGAAACATATTTTTGTTAACAATTTATTTTTAAAATCATATTTATTATTGACAAAAATGTGCTCTGATCAAGAGGTTATCGATATCTGATTAACGTAATTTTTTGTAAGCATAAAATATTTGACGAGTTCTATATATTGAATGATTTGAATCATCGAAATGAAACTTGTAATAACCTTACGGGCCTAGCAATACATTCCAATTCACTCAACAGACTGGACTCTCCCTAATAATTATATGAACTTCAAATGGAGAGAGTTTTGGCTTAGAAGTCATTGGGGGCCTCATTTCACCTCCCTATTTTAACACATTCAAATTGATGATTCTAATTCATCATTCACTTTAAATATAGTTAGTTGAAAGGTGGGCCAATGATGTGTGACTTTGCATGTGTAAAACTGCTAAAATTATTTGAATTACTTGAGTTTTGATGCCGTGTGATCAAATAAAAAATTAATAAATTCTAATAAATTTTAATTAGTAAAGGTACCTTTAAAAATTATGCATTGTTGGCCACATTGTGAAATCAAATGGTGCCAAATGTCGAAATCCTGCAAACTTTTCAAATCATATGAAAATCAGTCCGTGTGGGTCCAAACACAGTAAAGTTGTATACGTTTAGGAAAGTAATTATCTTGCTTTTTTTAAGAACATCAATATCGAATTATTAGTGGATCACAGTCGCGTGGTATTTTGAACTTACATAACAATCTTTGTGCTTAATTTTGAGAAATTATTCAATCCTTCAAAAGCAAACACATGTAATGCTCCAATCTCAGTTATTAATGGTCCATATTTTAGGAGACACGATAAGTGTCCATCGATATTTGATATGAAACATTACTCAAATAGAACTTGATAATTTTTTCCTTAATCAGAGAAAGAAACATTGGATTCACCAACTCACTAATGAAAAATATTTAAACTGATGATGCATGGTTGAGGTGGTAGTATCATCATCATTTTACCATGAAAACTTTTGACCCTAAAAATCTTAGTTTCTCGAGCTTGAATGGTAAGTGGAGCCTAAACAAACCAGCTACCAAAACATACCATTATCAAAGCTCCAAAAAAAACAAAAGGCTTCAATCAAGCCAAAAAGAAAAAAACAAGACTCAACTCTTTACATAGTATGAGACTCAAAACCACCACTTTTTTTCACCCAAACCAACCCACCCAAAAGTAGCCCACCCCTTCAGTCTCACTCCTTTATTTGCTTTGTGGTTTAGAGAGAGAGAGAGAGAGAGAGAGTATGTAGTTTGGAGATTAGTTAGGCCATGATGATTGATTTTAAGGTTAAAAGAAGACAGTTATTGGAGCTGCATGGCAACCATGATTTGGTATAAACCGGACAGTCTTTGCTGGAGCAGCAAAGACTCGGTTTGGAGCCGGTCCGACTCTCTCTGAGCAACAAGACAGTGATGTGAAACCAAGCACAGCCGGTTCTTTAACGCCCGGTTCTCTAATCTCAACCGGTTCACTTGGTTCGTGAGGTCCTCCAAGTGCCTCTTCTTTTTCCACCGACACCGCCTGGCTGATTCCCGATTCGATATCATTCTGCGCCGCCTTCGCTCTTCCACCGAGTAAACCGTTAGACCTGTTTCTGAACCGGACGTAGAATTGACCGGAAAGTCGGACTCAAAGATGGACAACAGTTGATGGATTTCAGTAGGAGTGAGAGTCCCATCGAAAACCGGGACATGGAACTGAACCGGTTCATCAGAGCACATCATGGTTAAGAATAAACCGGCTGGAGAAGAGTGAACCGGAGGGAAGAAAGGAGGAGAAAAGGGAAGGAAGGAAGTGTAGGGGAGGGGTATTTAAAGACGGTGGGAAGGGACACGTGTGGTCCCACTTTTAATATGAAACTTTGGAAAAAGCAAGGGCATTTTTGTCTATAGAAAAAAGGAATGTTTTAGTCGTGTTACGCACGTATGTATATATTTGTTCAGCTGCGATTTGCAGTTCTAAAATAGACTTTTAAATAGAGTCCCATTGAATTGGCAGTTTTTTAAAAATAAAAAGTTAAATCGAACTATCATATCAAGATGGGATTCACAGTTGTTATATCATTTGAGTACCTCTAGAACTCTGAAATATTTTTCATATTTGTTATATCAGATCAGATCAGGTGGTGTCATGGGCCGCACGGCTATGGAAGTTTTATTATCTAATAATTTTTCAGGATTTAATTTTTAATTCTTAATCAATTTTCATAGTTTGAGGAATGATTAACCGTATCTACAATTTATTTATAAAACCTGACACTAATATTCTATTTATTTGGATAGAAAATATTTTTTAACAAAAATATTGCTTATTATTTTTTTTTAAAAAAATATTTTCATATGTTTGATATATATTAATGATTGCATCGGTCATGGTGTTAATAACGATAACAATGTAGAGTTGGTGGGGCGGGAACAGCCGCGACAATGGAGTGGTGGTGGTAGCATCCAGTGGTAGCTCAAGATTTTTGAAAGTTTTAAATCAAATATCAAAATAAAACATTATTTAACTAAACTTTTGAAAAATTAGAGCCTTTGACAATTAAAAAAAATTGAAATTTTTTTGTAGACATTAAGGTAGGGTTTGGTAACGTTTACGTTTTTTATTTATGTTTACAAAAGTTTTATAAACTGATTTTTGTTTATTTTTAGAAAAACAAAAACTACAAACGCATTTGGTTTGAACAAAATGTTTGAAATTTTTTAAAAACGTAAAGTAAAACATATGTTTGTTCAGACTTAAAATATTTATATTTATTTTTTATTATTTATGATAATGGGATCATACACATTATAATTGAAAAAAAAATTAATTGAAAAAACAATTTATTTGAGAAAAAAAATAATTGAAAAAAAAATTTTGTTAGCCAAATTTTAAATTTTTATTTAAAAATCAACATGAACTCATTTTTTGAGTTTATGTTTTTTTCTTAAATTTATAAATTGAGACAACCATTTATAAATTAAAAAAAAATATCAAAAAATTTTTTTAGACAATTTTTAAAATTTTTATAAATATAAACTGAAAACTAAAAATTAAAAATGAAATGATTTTCAAACAGACCGTAAGCAACCCCTTAAGTAGCCTAATGGTTGAGTCACTTTTGATAACATTGCCAAAATTTTAGTTTAAAAAATATTTTTAACCTTTTAAAAAAAAGAAATATTTTTTGCTCAAATAAAATTATTTTTATTATACTAACTGCTAAAAAATGCGATGAAGCTTAAATGACATGGTCAGCCTTCTGGAATTCTCCGTTAAAAAAATAAATAATAAATAAAAAGTGCTTGTATAAGCTTTTCATAAAGCTTAACCATGAAGACTAAACAACAAATAGAGTATGAAGAACGTAGAGGTGATAATTGATAAAGCTTTTTTGTAAAGCTTAAATAAACTATTACAGTCCCCCCACCGGAGTCATGTGGGTTACGCAGTAGGTGATAATAATTGATGAAAGACACCACGCTTGGGGGTGTTTGGGAGGAAGACTTTTTAGTATTTTTGATTAAAATAGTACTAAAAGATAAAATAAATTAAAATAGTTAATAAGACAATATGTCCTATCAAACTCATAATCATTTTACTTTTTCTCTCACACATATCATACTTAATTACAAAAAATTTAACTATCTTTTCAAATATAAAAATTTTAACCTCCTAAAATAGCCAAAAACTAAAATAACCTACTAAAATAGTTACTTCTCAAACACCCACATTATGATGGCTCTCAAGTATGCTGTTTGATTTTTCTTCTTTCCTTTCTTACTTTCATTATTTTTGTTTTGGAAAATAGAAAAAAACAAAAACACAATCAATCAAGGTCACAAGAGGCATCAAAGCTTGTCTTTATATTTTTAAATTTTTTTAAACATTTTGTCAATTACCAAACGCATTTGTAATTTATGTTTTTCTAAAAATAAATAAAAAATAAACAAAAACCAGTTTATAAAATTTTTGTAAATATAAACTGAAAACGTAAACGTTACCAAACACACCATTAATAACAGATTAAATTGATTCGTACTTCAGCATTTCAGATAATTTTTTATTTGGTTGGCAGTTGGTTTCTGTTTAGGGCATGTTGGCATGTTATCAGGTTGTTAACCACGTAGTGGAGACTAACATGCACACTTCTTTTATTTTTTTTAAATTTTTTTAAAATTTATTTATTCCATCAAATTTGTATAATATGTATAAAATTGTGTAGAATAAAGTGAACTATGGCATCCCACACTCCCATCCCACCAGCCTTTTGAATGTCTTGTGTCTTTTACTTACTAGGAGACTGTAGGCTTCATGTGCTTGCACTTGTTTAAGATTTAGAAACACTTCTGTCCACCCAGTTGTTCCTTTTTGCGTACTCTTAGATTCTTCTAACTGCTACCTCACCATAATTCCAGCAAAATATATATATATATATATATATATATATTTTCATGCAATCAGATCAGTATGTAATTTCATTAGAAATTAAAAAAGAAAGACAAATGAAGTGCAATGGCATTTTTTGTTCTCTCCCTTGGATGGTCTTCTAAATGAGCCCCTCCAGTCCTTTTCACAGACAAGTAATGATATCCCATGAAAAAATAACAACATAATCTAGTTCCTCTGCACCTGAACCGATAGATATAATTTTATCGAAAGAACAGTGTTCCTGACCATCCATCCTAAAGAAATAAAAGTAGCGATCCAAGAAGCATTCAGATAGGGTTACAATAATGTGTGACGTAGGATATAAAGAACATTCACAAAAGCAAGGGAGATAAGAGGGTGTTTCTAACTTGGTTTTGAAAGCAAGAAGATGATTAAAGATTGACAAAAAGAAAATTAATGCCCCACCCACATGCATATGTTCTGCTGCTTAAGCTCAGGAACAATTCAAACACAATTATACCTTGCCTGAAACCCAAGGAAACAGAGACAGCAAAGATGAATTCACCAATCATTTTCTTAGCCTGATCATAAACCTCGAAGAATTTATACAATATTTTCAACACAGTCATCGTCCCATTCACACAAGTAACCCAACACCCAAAATATTCGAGAGGGGGAAAGAGAGAGAGCATACAACTTTAAAAGCAGAAAAAACTCCTTTGCTTTTCTCTAGCAGGTCGGAGCACCATGTCCGATTGGCATTTGTCATCCTTCGCACTTTCCTCTTTTAGGGTGGTAAAATAGACAATCATTTACCCCCTCAATTAATAAAGGTGGAACCCAAGATTGTCTTTTGTCTCTCATCATGTAAGTCCTACAAGTTCACTGGAGGACTTCTCTGCATTTGTCAAAAAGAAGAAATAAGTCAGTACTATTCTTCTAAAGCATGTATGGTCTAACCAAAGAAACCACCACCCTCATTCATTTTATTAGGGTAAATTACACCGACCTCCTACAGATTTGGAGAAAATATAGTAAACCCCATAATTTTGACATAATTACAACGACCTCTCTTTTAGTAAGGCTAAAGGGGACCCATTTGTATGAAAACACAAGGATAAAAAAGTAAATTACACATTTCAATGTAAGAGAGATGACAACATCATTTTTCCATCCATATGACAAACAAATTGCTTATGAGAAGGGGGTTGCATTATGTGAATCAAAAGCTTAAAGGAAATCCAAAGTAATTATGCCAAACTTTGTGGGGGCTTACTGTAGTTTCTTCAAACCTCAGGGGAAGTCAGTGTAATTTGCCCTTGATTTTTAAGTCCCAACACTAAAATGGTTTCTATTCTATCACATTGTTCTTCAGCAGTTTTAGACTTATCCAACCTTAAACAAAAGATCATAAGCAATGTGCTCCCAAGGTAACGACACAGACATCAAGCAGCACTTCAGGGGCAGCATCTCTTCATTGGAACCCTGCGTGGAAGCAGCAGCGGCATAGGCATGCTTTGCTGCCACAGACGCAACAGATGCTGCTCTACGAAGAATTGTACCAATACCAATACTGAATCCTCTCTTCAATTCTGGTGAGGAAGGGCCTGAAACCTGCTTGCTTCGATCTGATATGGTAGTGCCAAGAGGCTCAGTAGATGACAATTCAGCAAACACAATATGTAAGTAACAATCTCACATAATAAAGATTTCAAAAAAAAATTACATAAAGCTTTCATATTATACTTCCCACAACGAATCAGATCATATATATAATATGTTCAACAAAGATTTTAAAATTAGAAACCAATATAGAGATGTTATGGCCGAATCCTAAAAAAACAAAAAATGGGAGCAAGAGTATTTGACCATCTAGATCACTGATAAATGGAAAGAATTATTATTATTTTTTTAATTATGTACTCAAATATCTAAGAATTAATTTTAGAACAAGCGATCACAGAGAGAAAGGTATAAAAAAATAAAACAAAAAATGTGCTATGTTCCATATTACAAGTTTTATACACAAATTCATTCACTCCTGAATAGGCAAGCAGGTTAAGGGATTACTCAGGGTTGGCAGAAAAATCATGCGCACATTAATAATATAAATTCTAACATATCTTACCAGCTGAGCTAATAAATGAATTGAGAGAGAAAAAATAAAACAAAAATGCTAGAGGCCCCAAAAATTCTACCAAAAGTTTTACCAAATGTCTCACGTGGGTGTGGGACCCACATGAGACCCACATTGTATGGGTCCCACAGACATTTAGTAAAACTTTTGGTAGAATATTTGGGGTCTCTAGCATTACTTAAAATAAAATAACAGGTATCTCCTAGCAATTCCTTTGCTAGAAACATCTAATAAAACTGTTCTAGGCAGTTTTCAAGAAACAGAATACCATTGTCGTGGATCTTCAATGAGTATACCATTTTTTCACAACTGTCCTGGGGGGAATGAAATTAAAGAGAAAATGACCGAAATTGAGGGGGGAGAACACCTCAAAGAATGTTTGGAAGATGGATTTCTTTTTCAGTGTAAACATGGGGGAAATTCACAAAAACTGCTATTTACAGCAAAAGACTTGGAATAATCGGCAAGGAAAGTAGGGGAAAATTTTCTGAGTCTTCATCGGTTCAAAATTATTTTCTTTTTCTTTTTTCTTATTCTTTCAGTAATAGAAAACGGAGAAACCTACATTGCCATCCTCAACTCAGCCGACTCCCAACTCTACATAAAGCATTGTCATTTGCATATGATAATTGTTTAAGCCAAACATTAGCATGCTTCATGATTACAGCATCCATAGAAGAATAAAATTTACATAAGAAGATGTTCACATGGAAAAAAATACAACAGAACACGTAAAGAAAGTTCAAGGGAGGCACAACTGGGTGAATTCTGCCAGAGAGAAACACAGGTATGCTAGACGAGTTCCTCAATTCTCAACAGTGCTCAAAAGAGAAGCCCAATTCAATCCTTAAATTCCTAAATAAAATTGACTCCTTGCTGATGTCTCATTTTCCTAAAATATGTGTGAAGATGCGTTCTCACATTGTCAGCCCAAGTATTTTTTTACCGCAGTACGAGGCAATGGCCACTATTGCACTTAAAATGCTAATGCCTTGCTGTCTCACAAAGGTCAGAAGGTCATACCGACTGCAAGGAACCAACCAACCTCTAAATTGGTTGCCATGTTAACAGGAGAGATGAATCAATATTACACATGGTAAATACTTAACCAACAATTTCTATTTCTTCAAATACTAATCTTACTGCTGGACCGTGCCAAAAGTCACGAAACCATGCAAATTTCTGTTGCACAAGGGAAGGCAGATGACCCTGGTACTGATATGATCCACAAAGTATAAAATGAGTAGTAAAAGATAAGCCTTGTCATCAGAAGTTTGGTTATAAAAATTATCACTTACAATTTTATGAAAACATAAGCCAACCTTTTCCAATATGATGTCAAACCATAAGCACCTGTTTCTGGAACGGGAAAGGAGGGGAGTTTGGGGTGGATGAGATGGTCCAGCTATGCTAAATAAGAATGGTAAGTTTAATAAAAACATTTAAATGAAATTCTGCCAACGGATTCCAAGGGAGTCAAGGTTCGCAAAGTTCCATTACTCATCATGAAATTCGAATCAATTCAATTCATATTCTTCACCAGCAAAAACATTATCACCAATAAAATTAAAGTAAAAAAAACTACAAAATATTAGAGGACTTACAGAATGAGAGGGGAAAAAAAAAGATTTTCTTATTTACCTACAACACGAGAAACAACAACTTCCACCTCCCCTCGTCCTCCAGGGCCTTTCATGTGAATCCTGTCAGTTTTCCCAGGGGAATGTCCAAGTGACAGGAGGCTCTCAAATCTAGACTTCCCAGCTGTAATGGAGAGGGAGAGATAAGCCCAGACAAAGAAAGAATAACTTCTTCTTTTTTGTTGTTGATTAAAAAAAGAAAAAGAAAAAAAGAAAGAAAGAAAAAATAATGCTCAAAATTGATCCATAAAATTTCAGAGCAATACTCTGAAATCCAGAATTGGTGAATTAATCAAACTCTTTAATGGAAATGTCATAACTAGAAACTTTATTTTGGGAAGTTGTAAAATTTGTGATTGAATTTCACACAAACTAAAAGATTATGATATAAACTTTGTTATTCTAGTAAGGTAAACTGTTAATGTCAAGTTTTTGATCGACCAAAGGAGCTGAAATTTAATTCCACATTGATAAATACATGGCTTGAATAGTTTTACTTTTCTTATTTTTTTATTATTTCCATATCAATAATTGTTAGTGTTTGGATGATAATTAAGTGTGGAGAAAAGTTTCAAAGCAGAAATAATTTGTTACAAAGGAAAAATTTGAAATACTTTCCACTAATCAATATTGAACTCAAAGCCTGAGCGGACGAGCAGTCTCCACAAGCTAATTGCATGCACATAGTGATATGCTACTCTTATGGACTTCATGGAAGAAATTCCACTGAAACACTTGCTTCAATATTGATCAATCAACTAGTGGGAGTCAACATGAAACAATCCACCAATAAAAATTCATTTGAAATATTAAAACACACCTATTGGAATAAAACAAACTTCAGGGACAATGGTATTTCTTTTCATTCAGTTTCACAAAATTATAATGCACCAAGTTGATGACTACTTTCAACTATAATCAGCAGCAATTATAAAATCTCAATCAGAACCACTATTCGTTAATCGAGAGCTGTGTGGCTGCATGAGTCACTGAAGCAGGAACAAGTACAAATGAGCACATGAAGTGTTATATGCTACAAGATTGGAACTCAGGAAATGTCTTTAATGCCACACGTTAGATGATGAAGAAAATTTGTAATCAATAAAAACAGTAAATGTTCCGAGACCCAAATATTAAAATGAGTCCTGGATTAAATGCTCTAATAGATAAATATACCTTCATATGCATCTCGAACCATTTGATAACTGACAAATCCTAAAAAAAGAGTAAGCTGCAATCACAAACTACCAACCCATTAAGATGCTATTACTTTAGAACAAACCAAAGCCCTCCACTCTCTTAAATGAGGAAGAAATTGTGTGTTGTGTGTTGTGTGTGTGTGTGGAAATTGTGTGTTGTGTGTTTGGGGGGGTAATCAATTAGCATTTTATGAAAACACTTGACAAAAGTTAAGATTTCAGATTTTCAAGTTTTATCTTTGACCAAAATATTTATCAAGAGGCTGCTAATTTGCATCTCAGCCAGCCATGCCTAATGCTAAACCAACAAGAGGAGAGAGCAATCCAGACAAAAAAAAGTTATACCCGGTGCACAAGGCTCACACTTACAGCAGGGCCTTGGAGTGGAGCATGGTGTCCAAGCTCCTCAAGTAGTACCAGAACCTCAATATAGAATCTATAGATCAAGTGTTTAGGGTTGCATCTTCTTTTTATTTATTTTCTTACAATATATATATACATACATATTTGTTGTACCTCCTTGTAGAAGCTGTGTCAATAATTCTTATGCCAAGAGCAGAATAAGGAAAGAGTCACTTTGCTTCACTTGAGTTCTATATTCAAGTAGGCAACTGCTTTAGTTTTTCATTCTTCAACCTCTCTCATCTGCTTTAGTTTTAGATCGTGAACAATTACGCATTCGTAAGACTGTGCACATCACCCTCTTGTTGTCTATGCTTATTCTTCTTCTTTTATATATACATGTGTGTGTGTGCGCAATTCGTAAACCTTGTTTAGTTGGAACTTTATGTATATTAAAAGTCATAAATACTTGTGTTTGATAACATTTTTTTTTTGAACGCTGTGTTTGATAACATTGATTTAACGATTTTTTGCTCATATAAAAATTAATGTGTGGTTCATGTGAATAGTGTAGCCATGTTCAATTATCCATTAAGGTAGGTTTTAGTTTTTGTTTCCAAACATTTTTTATGCTTTCCTCGTGTTTCTATTTCCAAGCTAACTAAAATAATGTACTAAAATGAAATTCTGACCCTTATGTATAATATATAAGCAAAATCCCATCAATTTTTAAGAATTAAAACACTAGTTTAGTGAACGTTCATCAGCAGCAAAGTGGCAACTGAAAAACAGAACACACAATAAATAATAGAAATACTAAGATCAAGTTGTAGGTTCAACCCTGGGTAACTTAGGGAAAGTAAAGCAAACAAAACTATCACTCCTGAGATATATAGATATAGTTGGAGACAACTGCTACTCAAACTATGGTGTGAAGAACAACAAATAGCACATAGTCACAATATACTTTGTCCAGCACGACATATAGTAGTGATTTCTCAAGACAACAATAGCACATCCCTAGGTGAGCAACTGGATAGAAACACAGCACAATTATTCAGCTCATAATTGAGAACATTACTTCACATAAGGGATAACGAAGAAAGACAACAACAAGAAAAAAAAAAAAAATCAGAAACTCAGGCAAATCATGAAACAAATACTAGTATTCTTCGCGTAAACTAATGAATATATCAAACCTTCGTCTTCTCTGTCTTTCCAGAACCAGTGTTGATTTTCAAAGAAGAAATATCACTAGAACTGCAATCTTGTGCAGTCTTTTCACTAGGAAATGCTGCCCCGCCATCTGCATTTAGAATTACACAATAGCAGTGATCTGTATCTGTCAAGACCTGCAAAACAAAAAATCCCAGATGATAAATGCAACAATGCAAGAAACAGTACTTAATTCAAACATGTAACTAACAGATTTCAATTTTTACCTCATTTCTCCGAATCTTCAGTGGATACACTTAAAAATAACTGGCGAGTCATGTATTATAATGATATAAAAACTTTGTTGTGAGTAAAAACGAACTAAATAAATATGTGATGCACTCTCCTCACCAATTTTGAAAAGGGAAAAGCCTTAAAGCATGACAGATCATTCAAAATCAGAAAAGCATATATGAAAACAACATATTTGTCCTGATATCTACTAATTTAAGTTTTACAATGGTATAAATCATTTTTATCCTTTTACTTGACATTGCAGTTTGAAATTTGCATATCAATGACAAAACTGCAGATTTTTCAGCAGAAAGATAAAACAAAAGGATATAGCATATATCCATAGCATACCTCAAAAAGGGTTCAAATTGAAAATGGATTGAATCATTTGCACTTAGTCAAACCCAAGAAGAAACATATATCTAGAAAGCCCAATATCATAAACTTTGTTTAGGTGTCTTGGCCTAGTGCAATTGGGGCTACCAGAGAGAATACCGGTTCAAATTTCAACTCAAATTTCAAATTTCAACTCCGGTTCAAACGATCTGTCTTGACATCAGATCGTGGTGGTCATTGCTGACAAAGGCAACAGTATGAATAAGGATCATTGTGATACATTTGTCTCCAACAAAAATGGACATGATGTTCAGTGGCATTCAGGTAGGCAATGATGATGTCAATACTGCTGCAGTCCTGTTGATGGTCATGGTGAAGATAGTGGCCCCCCAGTGATTATTGCCTCTGATTGCTGGCACCAATATGAGTTGGTTACAAATTAATTTTGGGTTGACAATGACAGCAATGAAATTGTTGCATTGACATCATTTTTTACCATTTCTTCCTTCTTATTCATTGAATTTACCCCTCATTTCAGTTTTCCCCTTTTCCTTGTGAGATTCTAATAAAATGAAATGTGCATGGTTAATGCAATACTTTTCAAGAAAACTGTATGATGGAAAGCAGAAAAGGAGATGATGACAACAAAAATGTTTTCAATATGAGAAAACTAGGATTTCAAGAAATTGAAGGTTCTGAAATGGTCCCTCCTAATGCATTTACTTACTCGAAAAGCCCAATAAGAGACCAAAAGAAATCAGAGAGACACAGAAAAAGAGAGAATTAGCATAAGCATTACTATAGTAGACTTAAAATGATACAATTCAAGTGCAGAAAACAAACCACATCAATATATTGTAAACTACATACCTCTCAAGCAAATCCTACCAAACTGGGCACTTACAAAAACCTAAGGAAAAAAGAATCAATTTCCTCTATTGTGCCAAATTCAATTTATTCAAAGAAAAACAATAATAGATAAACTGTCACTCCCGCACCACCAAGAAAAATAATTAAAAAGAAAAAGAAATAATTATTTTACAGAAGATATTTGAGAAGAAAGCTTTACAGCTGTCTTTTATAGATCCTCTATGCAACTAGAGTTTGTTGTATATCATTAGACCGTGCAGTGTGATAGAGTTTACAAAAGATGCCAATGTTGGTTGATCTGTTACTCTCACTATTAAAAGTGCTTTCATTTCTCTTCGACGTGCGCAACTGAGAATTCCAAGTAATCAAGGCCTCTTTTTATTTAATGGATGTAGATTAGCGTGAAACTGTGCTAATACACTAGACATCATCCTCTGATGAAGCCATCAAACTTCAAATTGATATATATTTTAACACATATCAAGAAGAACAAACTCGCAAGAAGCAAAAAGCACCAGAGACAAGAAGCTTCTATCGATACATATCATAAGTAAACATATTACCACTGCATCAAAAGTGGAATCAAAGTCATCAACTGCAAAACATATATCTGGATAAGCAGGTGTTGATTCTACTTCCTGAATGCATCACAATTACTGTGTCAGACAAAAAAACACGAAGAAATCAAAACATAATACAAGGAAATCTGGTCTTGTTAACAGTAGAAACTTGCCTTTGTTGAGTCCAAATGAAAATCAACACGACTTGGCGATGCATAAACAGTCTTTACAACCTAGAGATAAAGCCATAGACCATACTTAAAACAATGACTAAAAATACACTCAACTGTGTTTCAAGTTCATCAAAAACAACTAAAAGAAAACAATATGACATAGACATTGATCAAGATGTTGTACTACCAGCCATGGATTAGGCATTTGATATACAAGTGAAAAGGTAAAGGAAATGCATAACCTGGAATATGATAAAAACTGCAACCTTATTCCAACATACAAAGATTGTTTGAACAGATTGGAGCATCTCAAACGTGCACACACACTCCATGCTACATGTTGGAGAAAATGTTCCACAACAATAGAAGTGTGTTTGAACAGATTGGAACATCTCAAACGCCAGAAAACAGAAGGTTGAGATATGGTCAACACACCAACATACACACACATCTCATCAGGTAATTTGAGACATTTTTTAAGCATGAAATTAGATTTCAGATACCTTGTATATAGAGGACAATGGTGTGTCTAGGCTGGTCTGGTGATTCTTAAGGACCTGATAACTGAAAGAAGAACAATTTTTTTCTGATTACACATACAAAAAATATATATATGTTTGTGTGTGTGTGTGTGTGTGCATAAATGGAACCTATTGTCCTGCACAAAAAGAGAAGGAACCCTCAACTGTAATGGTTTGCAGCACAACCAATAAATATATTCTCTGATCTTTCTGATGATGCAAAATAAAATTAGCAAACTGGAATTAGCATGCCTAGACACCAGGAATGAGGCAAATTAAGTGTCATTAATATAGAAAAAAAGCCTCTTATCAACATCCATTTGGCTAAAGTATCTACATCCACATATTATTCCCTTCACAGAATCCTGGATGTTTATGATTTAACATCATCCTCATCTATCAAAAACACGATTAGATGAGACTTTAAATTTTTCTGTGATAAAGATTATAAAGCACTGAAACCAATACCAAGTGAATGCCTTCTTCTTTTCTTTTCTTTTTCTTTTTTTCTTTTTTTATTTTTTTTTATTTTTAAAGTACCAACACCAAGGAAATGTCACAGCAAAATTTCTACATTTTAAAAGATTCCCAACTTATCTCTTTCATTTGGTGTAAAATGTACTTTCTAAGGAAATAAAGAAATGAACTTCCAAGTTCCAACAGATATCCAAAGTTCCATTTTGTCCATTATTTGTCATATTCCTGAGCAATGCAAATACTTCTTCATCCTTCACTTAGTGGAGTTTGACAGCTTCAGCATGAAGTCTACCACAACGAGACCAGCCATGAAAAAGTGTGACAACCCCTAACTTTACAATAAAATACTCAAGGATGAGTCTGGATTGAGATTTACTTCCTCTTGATGCAAATCAAAAAGTAAAAGGTAACGATAAAAATGAAAAATAAAAATTCTAGTTAGTTAATTAATATGCAAAATCATTACTGTCGGGGATAGGATTCTCAAAAGCAGATGATGGAGCCCTGATATTCAAACCTTGGCCTGAGATAGCTGGATCTATCAACTTAAATCAGAAATAAAAGGAATAGGATCTCAAACTACAAAGGAAGGATTGAACTCCAAACTCTGGAACAGAACCAACCAATTTGATGAATAATAAAAGTTGATGTCATGTCAATTGATCATATAGGACAAGACCTGTCATTTCAAGAAAAACCCAGAACTACTTGGTTGTCTTTTTTTATCTGGGGTGAGCTTTGAAAGTCCAAATGAGATATCATTGTCGTGAAAAATAAGCAAAGAAAACAAAAATATACATGGCAAGATCACTTAAAGAATGAAGCTAAACAAACATACAAGTATTTTTTATTTTATTTTTTATTTTTGATAAATAACAAACCCGTATTAAAAGGAAAAGGTGTCTATATTCAAAGGACAATATAAATGACACAACTAAAAAGAAAAAGGTGATCTACCTGCAAATTGCCACTGTTACACTGAACAAAGTGTGAGCTATTAAGTTCAAGTAAAAGGAGCGCCTCCAATCCACATACACCGAATTCTTATCAACTAAATCATCCAACTGGTAAACAAGAATATACGGTTAAAATCTTAAGTGAGTCAAAATCACCCAGACAATTGATATAAGTTTTTCAATTTCATTGCATATATCAAAGGAAGACTAATCCACATATTTACGCCTTGCTCTTGGATTTCAAGTGATTGTCAGAAGATTAGCAAAAACATAAAAATTCTTCGAAGCAATTGTAAAAGAGATATTATTGCACTCAAAGTATGACAATAATAGAAACAGATCGGTCAAGAAGCTCAACACTAACTGCAGATCAGTATCTATAAATGGCATAAGCATATAAAAAGGACATAAACCAGCATTGGTACTTCCTCAATCCAGGGTGGTAGGAGGGGCAAAACTGCAGACAAACACTACCTTAGCCATCAATAGGGTAAAGTGTATGCTATCAGGCGTGAACATGTATTGCCCATTTGGCACACACATCAAATTAAAAGAATAGAAACATTTTCATTGTTATAGTCACTTTCCAGGTGCCTGGAATTCACATAATTTCCTATGTAAAAAATGCTTCATATCTTCATAATGTTAGTACACTCTTGATAAGAGGATGCGGTCTCTCATGCTTCGGGGTTATTCTCTTGTAAATCGTATTTTGGGAATCTTATTAACAATCCAAACGTTTTATTATTCATTCATCACAAGATGATTAGGGATGCTAATGTGCCCCTTAAGATTAAAGTGTTTGCGTGGACATTATCTCACAAGAAGCTTAATACCAATGATATGATTCAAAACAGAAGAACAAAATGCTATTTGCAACTGCAATTGTGCTTAAATCTGATCTCTCCATGTATCTTCAGCCAGAGAACTATAATAATAGTGGTGAATCTATAAAACTACTGGGAGACAATTTATGAAAACATTTTTTGTGATCTGACCTTGAAAAGATAATTTTGCATTTGATATTTGCAAATATTACATGGACTCGGGTATGGGTATGTATCTAGATGTTGGACTCATCAAACCATAAATTTAAGGGTACGCGGACTTAGCAAAAAAATGTCATATTTTTAGTCAAGTATGTGAGATAAAATGGTGCTATATGTAACTTATAGTGTCAAAACGACATTTATAGCAATTATACAATAATATGTACTTAAAATAATAGTGTTATATACAATTATATAAGAAGTATCTGTTAAAAAGTATCCAACACATTCCATACCCTTGTCCAAGTGTCGAATGTCTGACATGGGTATTTGATTTATTTTGAAGAGTCTGTGTAACATAAGATATATGCTAGACTAGTGTCATGCACACACCACAAGAGAAATGACAAAAGAAGGCGGCAATTTTGCAATTAATTAGACTAAAAAGACTTTTAAAATATGTGCACTACCATATCATGCAAGCAGTTAAGCTATCAACATAGTTCATTTCAGCATACAGGTGTGACCAGGAATTGGTATTCATGCTGCTTTTACCTTAGGAGCCCACCTGCGTACAAAGTAAGGGGAGTTGACTTCCATATTATTGGAACTGTATCCACGCAAGCTCTGAAACAACAAAATTTATCAAGGAGTGTGGTTGACAAAAACATATAACAAAAATAACCAAAAAAAAAGTATCGTGCAACATATAAAATGTAACATCATTAAAAGTCACTACAAGAATTAACACTTTTGGCAACAAAAAAATTGGTCGCTAAAAGTCTATTTTTGGTCGACAAAAGTTATCCGCGACCAATTTTTTTGGTTGCTACTTTGGTCGCCAATTGAGCGTCGGCAAAAGTAATTCGCGACCAAAATTTTGATTGGTCGGCATAAGTTGGATTTGCCGACTAAATTTTTGGTCGCTAAATATTTAATTACCGCGACTAATTCATTTTGTCGCTAAAACACTTTGGTCACGAAAAGTGATTTTTTCCCGACCAAATATCTTAGTCGCCAATTGACACATTTCGCGACCAAAAAGTTTGGTCGCCAATTATCACATTCAATGACCAAAAAGTGGTCGCCAATTGTGACATTCCATGACCAAAAAATTTGGTCGCCATTTGTTACTTTTCGCGACCAAAACTTTTGGTCGGCAAAAGTGAGTTACCACGACCAAGAGCTGTTTTGGTCGGCAATAGATGTTTTTTTTGCGACCAAAATTCTTGGTCGGCAATTGTCATTTTTTGCAAAAAAAAATTATTTATTTGTCGCGACTAATAAATTGGTCGCCAAAGCAGGAAAACAATACGCCTGTAATTCCTAATAATTCATTCAATCCATAATAAACCTATAATTTTAAAGCATCATTCAAATCAACTGAATCATTAACATTCGACACAATACATAATTCATTAACATTCGACACAATACAACTATTCTAAGTTTTCATTCACAAGTCACATCCATCTAGCATAACAATTTGAAACATAACTATTTGTTATCCATGCGCAGCTATCAACAAATAAAACTACTAATATTTGTTATCCATACACATCCATCCAAAAATATTTAATCCTCCAAAAATTTGCAGGTAATTAAATTATCAATTTCAGAGTATAAGCTGCTAATTACAAATTTGGAATGGGTATTAACAGATTGGACAATGAGACTCATGTTTACACAGAGAAAAGTGCAAGGTTCATATATGGTCATGGCAAACACAATCAAGCTTGACAAGCACAGACAGACATAGAAGACTACTACAATGTTGAAAACAATCTTCCTCTTATTTATGGTTTTCTTTGTTTTTTCGTTTCTTTTCTTTTCTTTTCTTTTTCTTTGTTTATGGTTTATTTGTTTCTCCTTATGTAGTTACTTTAAAGGAATGATCCTGAAAAGTTTGTGAACCTCGGAATCGACCCTCCTAAGGGTGTTCTATGCTATGGTCCACCTGGTACCAGTAAGACACTTTTAGCTAGAGCTGTGGCTAATAGAACTGATGCGTGTTTCATCCGTGTTATTGGAAGTGAACTTGTTAAGACGTATGTTGGGGAGGGTGCTCGTCTGGTTCGTGAACTATTTCAGATGGCACGTTCCAAAAAAGCTTGTATCATGTTTTTTGATGAATTAGATGCCATAGGAGGTGCACGTTTTGATGATGGTGTGGGTGGAGACAATGAGGTTCAGTGCACTATGCTTGAAATTGTGAATCAGCTTGATGGATTTGATCTTTAGATATCTCTGTAAATCTCAAGCTCGAGCTTACCTTATTCAATCTTTGCTTGGTCCAAAAGCTCATTTATTAGTGAAACCAGCGCTCTTCCACTGCCCTGTGCAGTTCTGACATAGACTTGTTGAGTTACATCCAGATCTGTGTCCGTTAGCATCTACAACATTCCTGTTGAATAAACATATATACAGACATCACTCAACAACCCCACTTTCTTTGTTTATTTTTAAATAATTTTTTAATGTTTTCCCCAAAGCAATGTATTTAAATGACTTAAAATGATAAAGGACAACAACAAAAACTTACCAAGAACACCATTCATTGGGGTTCTGATCTCATGGGACACAGTAGCAAGGAACTACAGATAATTGAAATTCAATTAGAACCATGTAGACATATTAGGTGAAGCCTAACAAAATTTCAATACATGAACTACAACTATCAAATACCTGTGATTTAGCAACATCAGCTGGCTCTGCTCGTTTCTTCAGCTCCATCATCTCATGGTAATCATCCTCAACGTTGGCTATTTGATTCACTATTGCGTTGATTATATGCCCAAGAAGCAATGCAATTACGAGGATACCAATTGAAATCATCATCGCAAACCATGGCCCTGGTGGTTTTTGTTTGAATCTGCTTCAAGAACAAACTTAGTTGTAAGTCCATTTTATCACTTTGAATCTCAATCTAAGAACTCGCATTGACCCCTCTAAAATACACAGTAATAGATAGGATTAAATAGATCACCTGCAACGCATCTCATGTTTTCTGAACGAATCACCAAAGTTAAGTGTGCTAACATGTTGTAACCTATCATTTGATACATTCAAGTCATACATGCTGATAGGGTGCGAAAAGTTGGTGGTATCATACACATTCACAAGTATGGTTTGTTTGCTTGCAAGTTGTTGAAGCAACTTCTCCACATTTGATTCGATATCGAAGACTCCGCCAAGGTACCTGCTTGGCAGTAGTGAAACATTAAATGAAGTTCTTATCTAATTTAATCTTTCTAATCTTGTCTGCATCCTGAAATTTCTAGCTGCACTCATTATTTATAGCTAAGACAGTACATCAACTCAATTAATTCTATTTTATTTTGCGATGACCTCTAAATTTGTTTTATATTTTTTAAATACAATTTATTTTATGAATAGGATCAGTTATACAATTGTCATCATTGTATATTTATTTATTTCTTCTCTTCTCTATTCCCCCTTAAGGAGCTAATGACAAGTTTGATTTTTGGGCAGACAACATACCCATCAGTTGCTTGAATCCTCTCACTTGATGTTGCATTTGAGGGGACATCTTTCTTGTAGACAGCAAAACTCAATATGACTCCCATGCGATTTGATTTGAGTAACCTGAAAGGAGCAGTGAGAACCCCTTTTCTTGATTCTCTTGCGCGCAGCACATTTTGCACGATCTTCCTATTGGTACACAAGTTCACGAACTGAGTGAAAGTGAACTGGATCAAGAAGCACCCTAAACTGTGAGTAAAGGCAATTAAGCACAGTAGGGGAAAATATTCAATTTCAATACAATTTAGCACCCTAAACTGTTGGAGCAGTGTGGAACAGATAAGAACTGAACCACACTCAACAGCGGATCCGACTGTTGGAGTAAATATATTTTTGGAATTTCAACGCTAGCGCCATATTTATGTTAAACAACATGCATGGGATCTCAACAGATTCTAAAGAACTTTTCTCATTTTCCTTTGCTTTTCCTTATTTCCACCATTTTTTCTAGGGGAGATTACAATTCAGTGGGAAGTGTGGCAAATACTTGCTAAAATGGTGAGAATCTTCTTGGGATGTAACATTTGCTGTGTTTTTTACACAAAAAGAGTTGCACTACCAGATATTGCAAATTATTTTTATCACATGCACTGATTTGTAGTTTTCCCTTTTTTTTTTTATAGTGATAGGCAAAATTACATCTGATGACCTATAATAAACAAAAATTAAAGCTCCATTATATATTCGCTCCCAGGACAACCTCTCGGTGAATATTGATTTTTTTTATTGGAATCCAAATTATGCACCATATTATATTTTATAGGTACATGATTCAACAAACCCTTCAATAATTAACAACTAACAACTTACTAATCTCTAATTATAGATAATTCTTTGAGAAACCAACTTTAACAGGGTAGATAAAGTTTTAATTGCCTAATATTTAACAAAATCTTCTGGAAAGTCCATATAACCAGTTGCTTGCAATGATTATCTGTGTTACATGGCTCTTCTATAACCAGTTGGATCTTATAAGACTGTGGAATCCCAACCCAAATCTAATACTACGTGATCCAATTTTCAAGCACAACTTTGTATTGAATGGGCAATTTTATTTGTTGCCTTAATAACAATTTTATGTGGTTCAAATGGACAAAAATCAATCATATTAAATTAAAATAGATTGTCAGAAAAACAAACTAGGGAATTCGACATTCATATTGCAATAATAAAAAAAATATATTCTAGTCCAAAAAACAAATTTATTCTATCTCCAACTATGCTCATTACTCACAATCAAAGGATTTCAAGTTGAAAAGAACAATTAAAATTAAAAACAACCTACCTCGCAATAAAAACATGTTGCTTTATTGTAGCAAGGAACTCTCTAACTCCTCCATTGTAGAAGTAAACGGGAGGAAAGGCCAATCCTGCAAATATTTTCAGCTGTAACAGATGCCATTGAAGGTAAATAAAGTGCTAGTGAAAAAAAATCATATAGCATAAACTAAGGATTCATCTGATGATCTATGTGCCATAGATGCTTCAACCACATACAGGCAATTAGCATTAGGAGAAACCATCTGACATTAGTATAAGTGCAAAGGATAACACAATCAACAACGGTAGATCATACTAAAACAAATATGATGCAAAAATTATAACCATAGCTTTACAAAAATGACATGATTAGTCAAAACATGTGCACTACACCATATTTGATTAGTCAAAACATGTGCACTACACCATATTTGATTAGTCAAAACATGTGCACTACACCATATTTGATTAGTCAAAACATGTGCACTACACCATATTTGATTAGTCAAAACATGTGCACTACACCATATTTGATTAGTCAAAACATGTTATGTGGTCAAAACATGATTAGTCAAAACATGTGCACTACACCATATTTGATTAGTCAAAACATGTGCACTACACCATAATTCTTATTTGGTTAGTCAAAACATGTGCTCAACTGTAAACAAGAGTATGGTGTTATATTTGAAAAAATTTCTATACCAGCCAATGAGTAAATAACAGGCACTACATCATAATTCTTTTTCCAAATAAGAACAGCTCCAAAAGTTAATCAGAGACACTATAAAGCAATGTTAATCAGAAAGAAAGCAATGCACAAGTGAAAGCAATGCTCAACTCTCAACACAACAGAGACACTATTTGGTTACTTTCAATCCGTTCCAATTCTGCTAAACATTTAACCAAATCATTTCTTTCAATCTCAAAAGTGGTCAGTTCTAGATTTATCAACAATAAATAAATAAATAAAAGACCAAGATCAACAAATAGAGAGGGAAACTGTAATGGTTTGACATCATGATAATTTACACAACTGTCAATGTTCTTTTTAATTCTACTGGATTCTTCGAGACACAATTTCATAACATAAAAATAGAGTAATAACACTTTACATAATTTTCACGTACTTCTTATGGCACAATCCTAGAAAGCTAAAAGCTCAGAAAAGACTACCAGCTCAGTGAATTTTTTGACTCCCAAAGTTTTGCACTATAAGAACTTTCTATCTCCTCTTGCAATATATTGTAAATAGCTTGTTTCAATGCTGTTGCTTTCTCCTTTAAACCACTCTTTGTTTAAAGTAAAAATAAAAAATAAAAGATAACATTTGAGGAAAAAAATTATTAACATGAAATATAGTTTGGTATATAAATGAATGAGACATACCTTGCATGACTTTAACAGAAGCTGCAAAAAAGATGACCTGAAATATCTGACTGATTTTCCAAGAGATGTTTTATCCCATTCTGCTCTTCATTAAACCAAAAAATATATTAATATTATTGCTTCTGTTAATGGGTATAAAAAACTGATTATATCTGAATTTAAGTTGAAGTGCCGTCACCACCATCTGCCTTCACACCTCCCATGTTAAGCTCGCCCAAAAGCTGCATATTTGACAAAATCAAGCAGGAATTAATGGGTATAAAAAAATAAAATAAAATAAAAAACTAAATTAAAACTAAACCATGATGTATTCATCCTTTATCAACATCTTTTCACTTGGAGGTGAGGTGAGTAGAAAACTACTGAATCTTGTGCCCACTCCAAGCTAAACAGAACTATAAAGCAATAAATTCATATTGCTTATATAATTTTAACATTCCTTGTATTCTTCTTATTTCCAACATCTTTTAATATAATCAAAAGACAATCAGTCCAAACCCAGTTCATCCAACAGACTATCATGATTTCTCAAATTCAAAACCCATATTGGAATTTCATCGAACAGGTCATCCACATACTCTCAACATAGCCAAATTCATATAACAATTATATAGTATATATATAGAGAGAGGGATGAGGGAGAAACAGGGGTAAAAGGGAAAAGAGGGCTGATGGTGGTTGTTTACGGTGGAGAAGGAATATACTCACGAAATGCCTTCTGAGGAGTCCATTAGCAAAGGAGGTGAGAACAATAATTAATTCCATTAGCAAAGGAGGTTAGAATTGAAAACAAGATTAAAAGAAATCTAAATCGAAATCTAAATCTAATTCGAAATTAGCTACACATATATTTGTATGTATAGAGATATAGAGATATATATATAGAGAGAGAGAGAGAGAGGTTGCCATTGTTGCACTTTGATTTGTAATGATGCGCGACAGTGGAAGATCGGGGGTGAATGACGGTGGAAGACCGACGGTGACTGTGAACGGCAAATCAATGATGGTGAGTTTGAGAGAGAGAGAAACAGAGAGACAGAGAAAGCAAGAGACTGAACTTGTTTGGGTCTATGTACATATTGATAGAAAATAAATTGGGCGGTGATGTAAGAGTGTATTCCCACCAAAAAATGAATCTGTGTTTTTGAAATTGTTTAACTTTATTGCCGACAAAATGTTTTTTGGTCCCTAAAAATAAGTATTTTGCCGACCACATTTTTGGTCGGCAAAGATCAAAAGTAAATAAATTTCATTAATATTTGGCGACGAAAATATTAGTCGCAGAAAAGGTACCTTCGTCGACAAATCTTTTTAGTCGCCAAATTTCAATCAACGACAACTAAAATATTAGTCGCTAAATGTATTAATTTGGCGACTGATTTTTTTGGTTGCTGAAAATAAGTTTTTGGCGACCAAAAGACCATATTAGTTGCAAAAAAAGTGCCTTCGCCGACAAATTTTTTTAGTCGCCAAATCTCAATCAACGGCGACTAAAATATTAGTCGCTAAAAGTACTAATTTGGAGACTAATTTTTTTTGGTTGCTGAAAATAAGTTTTTGGCGACCAAATGTTTGGTCGCCAAAAAAAATGTGACCTTCCGCGACCAAATTTGTAGTTGGTCGGCAAAAGCATACCACTTTCTGCGACCAACTCATTTTTTGGTCGCCAAAATATAACCTTCTGCGACCAATAATATTTGGTCGCCAAAAATAAAGATCATTCGTGACTAATTAATATTTGGTCGCCAAATGTCATTTTTTTGCGACCAAAATATTTTTGGTTGGCAAAAGTGGTCGCAACATGTGTAAATTCTTGTAGTGAGTAATGTTTACTATGAAACAATTTGCCGAAAAATAAAGAATGGATTACCATTTTCCTAACAAAGAATACGAGGTCATTATCTTGGCAGCCCCTCGACTCCCTACCACGAATGAAATACAAATCCATGAAATCATGCCAAAAGTGTTCCATTTCAACATCTGAAGCATCATCCTCATCTACACTGGTTTTTCCTAGTAACTTCGATTGCTTCTTCACCATACTGAACAACTCATACCTAACCAACCAACAGTTCACACAAAAAGTAAACAATAAATATTAAAAATAAAACGCAACAAATAGAAAAGAGCAGCAAGAAAATAATCCATGCAACATTTGTAATTTGGCCAAAGTTATAAGCAAATTCCAACAGATTCACCACCATTCATTCTCAACTCAACTAAACTTTTCCCAACTACTTGGGTTTGGCCACATGGATCCTATGTCACTAATCCACTCAATTAAGAGCTATAATCACAATTAAACTACAAGCTAACATCTCTTTTATTTATTATCTCTCGCCATATTAATTTTGACCTCTGTCGTCCCTTAACATTACACTTAATGTGAATAGTGGCATTCTTCCTAAATAGGACACTTACTGATCTTTGTTGTACATGACCAAACCCTCTTAATCGATTTTGTCTCATTTTATTTTCAATAGGTTATACATATACCATCTCAGGAATTCGTTCCTATTTCTCCTAAGTTTACCACTCATCCACCACAACATCCTTATCTTAGCTATATCATTTTGTTAACATTTTTTCTTCATTGCTTCTTTATCCTCACTCATCCAAAGTCCAGGAAACCTTGCCCTTTTTTGCTGCTATGGTGTCTCTTGCCAACTTTCTGCTACACTCGGGGATGGATTTTTTTTATTTTTTTTCCTTTGATAAATATAGTCGAGGATGGATGCATTGCTTTGCTTAATAAAAACACCCTAGTATTTGCTCAAATATTCTTAGGGTCGATATTCACAATGGTTATGACCAATTTTTACGCTAACTGTTAGCTACTTAAAGCAACACTCCTCCTTTACACGGCCTTGAGACCAGAAAATTTGACAGCGATTAAAATAGTCAAAACATGATTTTTATTTTTTATTTTTTGTACAATTAAACAACTATAGTAAGCTTAAACCTTGGTACAATTGTTGCCATAGCCAAAATTATGAGAGTATTAAGTGTGTGGGTGATTTTCTTACCACACTGCCAAACGGGTACCCAGCTGGAGAGCACCAGCAGAACAGATTAAGCCCGAATGACCTGCAACAGAAAGAAGAGTTTCCGGCAGTGGCTTGTCCACTCGGGGGCACTCCGACGATCAAGTCAGTACTCAATATCTCTCAAAGATAACCAATAGTGCTTAACTCACTAGACAGAATATCAAAAGCATACTTTAGACCCATGGGGGTGCCTCCCTTTTATAGCCAACACAATCCAAGTCCCAATAGGAGCCTAGCTCTAATGGACTTAGGATTACTGCTAATCTTGGACTCCCAGTAGAATTAGGATAAACTCTCTAAGAGTCTCATCTTTACCCAAACTGAAGTCTTCTCCCATTCTAGGACTCTTTTCCTTTATCCGCTTATCTCGGATTCCGACATCTTCGCAGATAACCTCGGCCTAGCCGAGATCATCTCGGCATCATGACCATGACACGTGACACCTCGGCTGACACTTCGGTGTCACCTCGGCCGCATGTTGTCATTCAAAAATTATGTTCCCACATTAAGATAACTGAATCGATTAAGCTACTAATTGCTATACAATAAAATTCATTAAATAACAAATGAATTCAAGAAAGTGATGAAGACAAGAAAATCACATCATTCGATACAAAAATCAAAACTGCAATTGAATTCATTCGAAGAGTACCTAGTAGGGGTCTCTTCTCCATCACCTAGCATGTCTTCTTGCCTTCTTGGCCCCTTAATCGTTCTCTCTCTTTCGAATTCAATGAATTACAGAGCAATTTTGGGGGTTTGGTTAATCAATATTCAATTCTAGGGTTTATGCCCTGGAGAACTGTAGAGAAGATGACAAAGGTTGTTTCGGTTGGCCAACTGTCAAAAACCCTTACGCTATGTTTGGATTGAATGATTTGGAGAGAAAAGAAAAGAAATGGAGAGATATGTATTTCTTTTACTTATTTAGATAACTTAAATGGAAAGAAAATGAAAGAAATTGAGAGAAACTCATTTCTCTTATAAGCCTTATTTTCAATCTTCCCAAAAGTGGAGAGATTGGGAGAGAAAAGAAACCACTATTTTTATAATACCAGTTTTATCCCTATAAAAATAAAAGAAATAAAATGATTAAAAATATAAAAAGTTTATTTTGGTAATATAACATAAAATAATTTTTTTTTCTTTTCTCTTAATGAAATCTAACCAAATAAGAATGAGAGAAATCACAATCATTTCTTTTCTTTTATCTCTTCATTATTCAAACAAAAATGAGAGAAATCACAACCATTTCATTTCATTTCTTTTCTTTTCTCTTATAATTTAAGTAATTCTTTTTTTTCTTTTCTCTCCTACGTTCCCAAACATAGTGTAAGGCCCGTTTGTTTTCAGATGTAGAATGGAAGAGATTCATTGTGAGGGGATTGTTAGTGAGGGGATTAAGTAAAATTGTGTTTGTTTTGATGATAGTTGTTAGTGTAGGAATTGTTAAATTATTTTTATATAAAATAATAAAACAAATAAAAAAATATAAAAAATTAAACATTAATATTTTTTTTTTAAAAATCCCAATATATAAAAAATAAAAAAAATTCTAATCCCCTCACTATTTTTCTAATACAATCTCTACCTCCTCCATCTCAATCCCCCTTCCAACCTCCATCTATGTCACCTCCTCCATCTTAATCCCCTCCCTAACTCTACAAACAAACACAACACTAAATAATCTCACCTCCATCCTAATCTCCTCCCATCTATTTAACTCCAAAACAAACGGGGCCTTAGAGATCAGAGTTAACTTCTCGAGTAATGTTAGATATACAAATGTTATATTAATATTTTTATTAAATATGTTATTTAATAAAATAGTTGGGTCTTACCATTTCTCTAACTTCTATCCTCCTTCCCTCCGTTTTTATGTAAACGGACCGAAAGAGTTTAACAGTAAACATTGTTTGAGAGATTGTTGGGTGTGTTTAAGGTATATGATAATAAGTAAGGGTGTGCACGGTATAGTTTGGACGATTTAAAAGTAAAATTATAAATTGAATTGCGGCTTAAGTGGTTTTGGGTGGATTAGGGAATTAAAGAATATTCTAACAAATTATTAAACCTTTGTTTAATATGCATTAATTTACATAATATTTTTTATATATATAACACAAACTAATTTTACATAATATTTTTCATATATATAACTACTAATTTGTAATAAATTTCATATATTAAATCTCTTTTACACTCATTTTTATTTTGATATTTCATTATAGGTTAAAATATATATATGTATTACTTATAGCGGAGCGCAACAGTTTCGAATGCAAATTATAAATTTTTACAAATTGATACGAATCAATACAATTTTAACGAATTAAACGATATTTTATACCACACTTATACTGAGTGTGGTCACCTGATTTCACATGACAAGACAAACGACTTTAAGATAAAACCTAGGAGAGTAGTTGCAATGTGGCGTGACTATGGTGAGCATAGTCATGTAGAATAGTTGATGAAGCAGATATTTGAGTTCGCACGTAACAAAAACCCTACACAGCTAGATGTCGACGCTATTATTGTTTTATCCGAAAGCTATTGCCAAGGCGCTACTACTAATTGAGTCCGGATCCTCTCCAGCCAAAGACTCCCTCCGGTCCTCCGGTCAAGGGCCACGATTTGGCCATGTGGCTTAATGAAGATCTATGGCTCAGATAAAATAAAAAATAAAAAAAATTGAATTTCATTCATTTCGACCCAGCACAAAGCTTCCCTCCCATTCACGAGTCTGTTTTCCCTCCTCTTTGAAGCTCTTTTTCCCTCCTTCTTCCAAGCTCTGGCGATTGGCGAAGTCGACGGCGAACATCGAGGATGATTGGCGGCGAACATCGATGGTGAACCAAGCTCCGGCGACCCCGCGAACCAGAGCTGCACTTCGTCATCAAACTGAAGGTAATATTTGTTTTCCTTAATTTTTCCCCATATAAGTTTTCCTTACCAGGAACAAAAGATTCAGTGCACAGGTTTGTCATGGCTGGGGAACATTGTTATTGTCTGCAACTACATTGATTTTTCTAACTAGTGAACAATACATAGATGTTTTATTTGTTGTATTCCATGACCAATTTAAACTGTTAAAAGTGTTGGGGGTTGAAACTATGTATAGATATAGCAATACATTTACGACATATACTTAATGCTTATAATTTGCTTTTTAGCTATAACTGAGTGTCTCAAAAATTATTTAGTATCACACACACACACACACACACACACACACACACATATATATATCTTTATCTTTGTTACGAGATAAGAATCTGGGACAACATATTGACTGGAATTTCTCAATCGGACACACTGGATTAAGATTCTTTTTCTCTAGCAAATGGCATTGATATAATGGAAATAGTAAAAGTATTTTGAGATTCTAAGCTTTTATTAGCTTCTATATTTGTTAGAATTTTCCAGTTCATGTTCTATATTAGCTTCTATAAATATAGAGCTCAAATATTTTATCCTACCATGTTCAAACCTGTACTAATTTTTCAACTTGAAACAATTTACAAGTATACATATTCTTTCTTAAAGCATGTACATGATATTTAGAAAACAAGAGGAAACAGAACATTTTGATACTTCTCCCATTTGATTGCCTCTACTTTTCAGTTGCGTTTTTATATGGATATGGAACCTGACAATGATTGTGGTTGGAAGCCAAAAGAAGGAATGACCTTTGATTCGGAAGAAGGTGCATACGATTTTTATAATGCATATGGAGGAAGAATGGGATTTAGCACAAGAAGGGAATATTGTAAGAAGAACAAGTTAACAAAACAAATTATTTCTAGAAATTTGGTTTGCAACAAAGAGGGATTTCGGAAGGTTGACAAGCGAGACCCATTGACAAAAACCCCTAGAGCTGAAACTAGGACCGGTTGTGAGGCCCGACTTTTTGTTATATTGGATGTCAATAGTGGGAAATTTGTTGTGATTGATTTCAAAGAAAAACACAACCATGAACTTGTATGTCTTTATTGTGTCCATATGTTGCCATCGCAAAGAAAGATATTAGATACCCAAGCAATTGAGTTAGACTTAGCCTCAGAGTCTGGTCTTTATTTAGGGCAGTCTTTTGAACTGATGGGTAGGGAAGCTGGAGGGAGGCAGTCTCTTGGTTTTATGAAATTAGATCAAAAAAATTACTTGAGAACCAAAAGACAAAAAAGTTTAGCGTATGGGGAAGTAGGTAATGTGTTGCAATACTTTCAACAAAAATCTTTGGAGAATCCATCTTTTTTTTATGCTTTCCAATTAGACAATGAAGAGCAAATAACGAATATGTTTTGGGCCGATGCACAAATGGTCATGGATTATGCCCAATTTGGCGATGTAGTTACATTTGATACTACCTACAAGTTAAATAAAGAGCATAGGCCATTTGCATCTTTTGTGGGATTTAATCATCATAGAGAAACAATTGTTTTTGGTGCTGCGTTGTTATATGATGAGATTGCCGAAACATTTGTATGGTTATGCCAAACTTTTTTAGAGGCTATGTCAAAAAAGGCACCAAAAATTTTGTTTACCGATCAAGATGCTGCAATGGCTAAGGCCATACCCATTGTCATGCCTGACACGAGTCACCGTTTGTGCACTTGGCACTTGATGCAAAATGCATTAAGGCATGGTAATTGTCTCTTTCAAGATAAGCGGGTGAAAGGTGTATTAAATTGATTCATGTTTGATATTGAGGATGAAAATGAATGGGAAATGAAGTGGGGGGAAATGCTTGATACATATGATGCTTATGACAATCATTGGTTGAAGTTGATTTTTGGGGTGAAGGAAAAATGAGGCTAGCCATATGTTAGATCAACATGGGCTGGGGGAATGAGTACAACACAACTTAGTGAATCTTTTAATGCGTTTTAGAAGGATTACATTCGTTCTGATTTTAATTTAAATGAATTCTTCATGCATTTTGAAAGGGTACTTTGTGAGAAGCGGTATAAGGAGTTAGAAGCTGGATATGCTTTATGCCAAAGGTTGCCAAGGGTGAGAGCGCCAATCATAATGTTAAGTCAAATGGGTAATGTGTATACTAAAAATATTTTTGAGGAGTTTCAAGATGAGTATTTTCTTTCGGTTGAATCAGAAATACAAGCAATTGAATACATTGATGGTTGTAGCCTATACACAGTTGTTGATGCTATTGGGGAAAATGCAAGGAAAGTGAAAATGGAGATGGATGGCTCTTTGGCTTGTAGTTGTTCAAAGTTTGAAAGGAAAGGGATTTTGTGCAGTCACTGTTTGAAGGTTATGAGAGAAATATTGACGTTGAAAGAGATTTTTTTACAATACATTATAAAGAGGTGGACCAAACAAGCAAGAGGAGAAGCTGTGACGGACAAGTTAGGGAATGAGATTCAAGTAGATGTCAAATTCAAACAAGCCTCACGGTATAAGACATTGATGACCACATTTAGATCAATAGCATGTAAAGCTGCTGAAACTGAGGAAACTTATGATTTTTGTTGTTCACAAGTCGCTGCATTAGGTGCACATGTTGAAAGCAAGATAAGTGCACATTTTTGTCCCGAAAAAGAAGTAAGTATTAATGATCAACCTCAAACCTGTGAGCAAGAAGACAACAATCATGAAGACAACAATCATGTTGTGCAAATTCCAATAGGATTGAAGAAAAAGCATCCAACTAGTAAGGG